ACCAGGATGGTCTCGATCTCTTGACCTCGTGATCTACCCTCCTCGGCCTCCCAAAGTGCTGGGATTACAGGCTTGAGCCACCGCGCCCGGCCAACAATAAACTATTTCTTATATAACTTTTGCTGGATTCCGTGACTGGCAAAGTAGTAACAAAGATCGAGACAAAAGTTTTGCCTTCCTTCTAGAGAGTGAAAACTCTGTGTGGTTTTTGCACCTTGATTTTATCTAGAGAAAAAGATGTACGTAAGACCAAAAGGTGCATAACTACATCATCCAATGTATTCACTATGGTTCATAATAAATTGTAAGTCTCACATTTTCCATCAAAGATGAATTAACTAACCATAATTCAACTTTACCACTGTATATTTCTAGTCCAGTAAGTTATATTGAGACAAAGTTGGAACTTAGGACGGTTTAGAATCTTCCATCTTACACAGGAAGCATGTGACATGGTACAGTCAAACTCATCATATATCTGCTAACTGTACTTCCTGTAAAAGGCAGAAGCATCACACAGCCCAGTAACTTTGCTAGTACCTCTTGAGTGCAAAGTGTAGAATTAAGATCTGGATTTGAGATCCAGCACGGAACATTTCACTTGGGAAGAGCTATGAACACGCTGACTGCTAGCCTGCTGAGGGCAGTCATAGCCTCCATCTGTCTTGGTAAGGATGACCACCAGCACAGGACTCAGCCCCGTTAGCTTGGAAAGATGTGGAGAGAGGCAGATCTTTGTAGCCTAATGAGTCTTAGAAAGAAGGGGTAATGGGCAATGGAATCAGAGCACTAGGTCCTAAGCCACTTAATTCGTTTTACCCCCAGGGTTACAAATAAGGGATCAGTCTATTTTTTCCCCCTATTTTCTGCAGGATCCAGCATGGCCCAGAAGGTTACTCAAGCTCAGACTGAAATTTCCGTGGTGGAGAAGGAAGATGTGACCTTGGACTGTGTGTATGAAACCAGTGATACTACTTACTACTTATACTGGTACAAGCAACCACCAACTCGAGAAATGATTTTCCTTATTCGTCAGAGCTCTTTTAATGAGCAAAATGAAATCAATGGTCGGTATTCTTGGAACTTCCAGAGATCCACCAGTTCCTTCAACCTCACCATCACAGCCTCACAAGTCATTGACTCAGCAGTGTATTTCTGTGCTCTGAGTGAGGCCACAATGAGATGGGTGCCTGTGGGAGCCCTACAAAAACCTCAACAAGAGATAGGGCCCCTGGGGAGAGACTCCATCACACACAGGAAGAAGCAAGGAGGGGCTGTTCAGCACAGGTGGTTTGGCAAGGAAACCTGAGTTCAATTCACGTCCATGTCTAGATATATCATTTATTAGAAGCATGTGTATCTTCCATTCTTTAGAATAGAGACAGAATATATAGTTCATATTTTTATATCACATATAGAATTATGAAACAAAAGGTGCAATAACAATGTATTCATCTTGTGTTGCTTTTGTTGAGGGTGGAAAATTATCCAATTATCTTCAGACTAAATGGATGATTCTGTTGATAAGCTGTTAAGTTTCCAGAATCATTCATACATTTATGCATTAATTATTATGTAGAATTCTTTAATCTAAATATCTGTAATATAAAGTTATATAAATATCTGTCATTGATTTTTCTTAAGAATGGTATCATTACTCAATGAGGTAGAAAAATTAAATTTAGACTTCTTTCCATAATCATACCAGCAACTTCTTGTACATCAGAATAGATGTGAAATGTTCCTCAAATTTCCTTTCTCTGGCTTCTCTTTTCGTGACTTGATTATGATTTTTTAAAAGTATCTAAATATTTTGCCCTCATTTAGAGGCTGCCTACAAAGAGAGCTGTTTAAGGTGGGAACTTGTCCTAACCTATTGAATATCTTGCCTTCACCCTTTCTCCTTTGAGTTCTGGTCAGTTTGAAGCGGAGAAATAGTTAGGGCCAGAATTACAGCTGCCATGGCAACCAGAGCCCAGATGGCATGTCCAGTGCCTACTTCCTGTCCAAACATATATTTTTCCCTGGCTGTTACAACAGGTGCTCAGGAACAAGGATTTTTATTTCTTTTGCTCCACACAAGTTTTTATAAACCTGAGTTTTCAACATTAAAAGAAGACAGACATCAGATTAAAAACTGGATTTCTACCTTACCTATAAACATGGGAAGATCTGGGAACATTACACTCCCTAGGGTAAAGATAAAAAGTTCTGTTTAGACACATAATGGCTTTGATGTATATATATTTTATTTTTAACATTTATGCAAATTTACCATTCATTTCACGGTATGAATTCATTTAAAAGTAAAAATTTAAATTATTAGTTACAAGACATAAACTAATCTTCAAGACCACCTGTTTTTCCCTCATGATTTTCTGTATCACATGTGTATTCCAGCTTGAGAAACGTAAGTGTAGTTTATTCTTAATTGAGAAGGTATTTGTAGCTATAGTAAGCATTGGAGAACCATAGTTAATAAGACAGACATGGTTCCTGCCTTTATGGAGGTCATGTTCTAGGGGGCTGTATCCAATATATAATGGTAGGCAGAGGGAACTAAAGTTTTATACAAACAATCTATGTGACCTTAAGAAAGTTATAACTCCCCTCACCCTGTTCTCTCGTTTGTAAAACGTAGAGATTTAATTAGGCAGTTGCTATTGAATAATCCTTTCCAAAAATTTACTAGCCTCACAAGAGCACACAGTCCACTGCCTTTTTGAGTTTCTAATACTTATGAGCTAACCCTCTTTTTTGGGGGAAAGAACATTAGTTGTTATAGATGTATCTATACTGTTCCACATATTGCATGATAATGTAATGGTAGGAGAGGACAGTGGCTTGGGAAGTCGCCTGCTTTCCATATACAGAAACTACTATTCTGTGTATCCAGGCAGCAGAGGAAGAGGGAGAGGAAGAGGGGGAGGGGGAGAAAAGAAAGAAGTATGAGAAGGAGGAGGAGGAAGGGGAGAGGAGGAGGAAGAATGAGGGGCAGAGAAGGAGGGAGGGACAGAATAGGTACTAATTCTAAAGCAAATATTTTTATTTGAATTTGAAGTTATTGCTTCTTTTACAAGGCATTAGACACATTTTCTTTCCTTAGCTTGAGAGAATGAGAAAAATGAGAAGATTCCCATTTGACAAGCATGTGGTCATGCTGAACTTGGACTAGCTGACTGAAACTCCAGAGGACACAGCTCCTCCTGTTAAGTTCTAAGGCAGGTTGAGAGACATATTTTCTAGTAATTCTAGTTGTCCCTTGTAAAGTTAATATAATTCATCTGTTCCTAAAGGAACTAAGAGCATTGTAACTGGGAAAGGTTGGTTCAATATTAGAGCTCTCTAGAGCTGAGTAGCAAATGCAAATGCTCATAGGTGCCTAGAGTAGAATGAAATGAGTGTGGTTGTCCAAGTGTATTAAACAGGTGGGCCTGATAATGTACCGTTAGGCACTGGGTCTTGGCATCAGAGGATAAACAAAAATGATGCAGTAAACCTTATTTTTCTTCTAAGTAGAGTGGGTGTCCTGAAAGATTATCCAGAGATTGAAGCTTTGTCATTTTGCCCTAGTCCTAAGTCAGGCTACAAGCTGTTAGATGTAGACAGGCCAATGCACAAGAGCTATAATACAGGAAGCCTCTTGATCAGGGGCTCGGGAGATGAAGCCATCAGAGCCTGCAGTACAGCTGAGGCTTATTTCAGCCTCTGTGAATAAAGTCAGTGATAATGACCATATTGCTAGGAAGTAGCCCCTACTTCTTCCTAATGATTCTCTTCAGGGAAGTTCTTCAGGTGTTCCCTGAAATTAGTCACCCTCATACCCCACATCTCAGAGCCTCTGATCTTGCATACGATGAATGTCTTCACTGAAGAACTGTTCCAGTATCCCTGGGCTAGAGTTTGACTGAGTTCAAATAGAGCACATTGCCCACAACACAGAGCTGGTCAAGCTAATGAGCTGTCCAGGGTCCTTAATCACTTGGCTTACACAGCTGCTGTTCTGGATCTGATCCATTGTCATAAGCATTTTTTTTTTTTTAAATAAAAGAATGAAAGCAAATATTGAGCACATAATATGTGTGATACAATAATCACTGAACCTTACCTTTTCTCTCTTAACTACATGTAGTAGTTGCCCCCTGACTGACCCCTAATACAATCTACTTACTAGCTACATCCTCTGTGTGTTTGCCCTCATTTCTATCTTATTCCAGACAGTAAGATACAAGTTCAACAGCTTGGTGCTGCTCCAACCCCAAATGCTAGCATTACCACTGATTTTTTTTCCACCTCATTTCATAACTAAAGTTTCCTTTTCTTTGGAAAAGAGGAAAGGTTTCCATTAGAATTGGATACCGTTGGGAGTGAACAGTAAATTGTCAAATGTGTACTGTCCCAGAAGTAGAGTAGAATTCTTAATGGCACTAACATTATTCCACAACCTCCAGCCTCTTTTCAGAACTTCCAGAGGGAAAAAATTAGGTGGACTTGAAATAGTAACTTAATCTAATAGACTTCCCACAGAAGTGAAAAATAGCTTTGTTTTTGTTCACTGTATTTTAAAAAATACTGCCTTCTAGATCCAATAACCAATTTATAGTAAGTACAAAGGACAGCAGAACATATTAAACCCATCACAAGTATACAGCAAGCAAAATTTATTGTATGAAAAACTCTGCAAGACAAACAGCCTGGGTTTCTTTTTCTTCCCACAATAATGTACAAAGAATGAGTGAGGGGATCTACAGATTAAAGGAGGCTTTAAAAACATATCAACCAGAACTGTGGCTCTCCCAGTGCCCCATGCTCACACCATGTAGAGGTGCAAGCAGGCGAAACCCCAGTATGCCAACTTGGAGTGGGACCAGGGTGAGCAGCAACTGAATCCAAAGTTCACAGATGTGGCCTGAATGGTGCCAGTGGTGGGGGCCCAGGATGCTCCAATGGATCACCAAGGGAATGATGATGAAGCAAAAGAGGACAAAGCCACATAGTAAAATGGCTTCATCAGGAGGAGATGGAGACCTGTGAGAGATACTGTGCAGAGTTCTTTAGCATCTCTGAGTTCTTGGAACATAAGAAAAATTGCACTAAAAATCTCCCTGTCCACATCAGGAGTGACAGTGAGAGGCCATGACAGCTCTCTGGAGCTGGACTAAGTGACCAGCCACCCAGTCCAAGTAGTAAGGATGGCCATAGGGAGAACAGTGGCAGCTCAGGGGACATAAAGGAGAAGCCAGGTGTGGAGTCAGACAGAGATGGGCCTGCCACTCACACCTAAGGAAATAAGCTATTTATCCACAGGGAAAGTGGCCAACACTAATGTGCCCCTGCAGGCTCTCTGGGGCACCAGGGTGGCAGTGAATCAGTGGAGTGCCTATTTACAGCTGTCCCCCACCCCCCACCAGTACCCACCCTGCTGATAAGCCCCAGGCCGTATCAGAGAAGCTGCACATGGCTGATATATAACATAAAAGTGTACTCAGGGGACAGGCAGGGATGCTTTAATTCCTCTAGCTAGATAATTTAAGGTACATTTTCTCATTTCTCATATTTGCTAACAGACCATAGAAGAAATGCTCTAAGATGTAATCAATATTCACATCAGCCTTCAAACCAATTTGGTTTCAGTCTTTCACACTATTGAAATAAACAACCCAGTGAAGTCCCACACAACAAGATAAAAGATAACAAAGAAATGGCATTTTCCCCTTGAGCAAATATACACCTAAAGATCACTTGTGAAGCAATAAATATAGGTTATGGAGATTTTCCCCTCTTACTCTAAGAGTATATAAACACTTTTAAAATATGCTTGAAATATTATTGATTGCTGAATTAATATATTTTGTAAGATAAGGTAATTATTGACACAGAAGATATTCTCATCCTGTATTTAGTTTAAATGCAAGCTGTCATGCAATTGAGAGGAGATTTATAACCTGCTCCAGGAAGCTAGGAGGTTTCATCTACCCCAAAGCACAGATACCTCCTCACTCTTCTGCTTGTTAACAGTAATATGGATGGCACTGTGTCTGGTCACGGATTTGTGTTGGTGCTTAAACTGTTCCCATTGCACAGAATGCCCTTTCTCCATCTCCGCAGGCTAAACTGTCTCAACCTCCTATGACTGTACTTTCTGAAAGGAAGGTGGGTGAGAAAAGACATCTGTTTTGCTGGTTGATAGTCTAGAAGATGTGGCCTAGACACTGAATTATTGTCATTTCATAATTTATAAGAACAACTATTAAAATGCAGAGTGGTCCTGGATAATATGTAGTCACCATTCTTATCTTACAAGACCTAG